TACTAACTTACTATACTAACAATGTCGATTCAATCAACAAATACATTAGGGGAGTACCTCGCGGCGGCGCGCTAGACCGGGCCGAGAGGCGCGGGCCTCGGCAGCGGCGGCGGCGGGTGGACACGGGATAGAGAGAAGGGCGTCATGACAGTTGGGAGGCGGTGTACAACAAGCAAAGCGATGGCGGGCGGCGGCGGCGATTCTGGCCGCAGCGAGGGGCGATGGGCGGCGTGGCGGCACCGCCGTGCGTGGTCGGAGGATGGAGCATGGGCGGCGGCGAGGGGTGGCAGCCGCAATGCGGCGGCGGCGGCGGCGGCGCAGCGGCAAGCATGCGCGCTAAGGCGCAAAGGCGCGCGCAAGCGGCGCAAGCGCGCAGCGCGCGGTCAGCGGCAGCGTCGCGTCGTCGCGGTGGGCGGCCGTGGCGCTGGCGCGGGGGTCATGGCCTTTACACAGCTCGCCGCGCCATTGATCGGTAGCGCCATCGCTGCCGCGCCAAGATCGGTGGCGCGGCAGACCCTACCACGTCACCGGTCAGTGCCCCGGTCATCACCACGTCATCCCTCTCGCCGCGCCACCATGCATGATGCAACACAGGCGTTTCGCCGCGCCAGGGAAATAGGCGCGGGCAAAAGTGTTAATTTTGGAAGAAAAAAATAAAACAGTGTTTGATTTAAAATTAGTTTAAAAAAGTGTTAAAAATAAAAAAAATTCGTCCGGGGCAGCGTGAGTGAAATCATGAAACTGCGAGCGGGGACTACCATGCACTACCCCGGCTGGATCTGACTGCAGTGCAGTGCATTGCATGCAAGCCCACATGCAAGCGGCAGCTGTTCTATCTGCCTCTCTTCTCATGTCTCTCTCTTTTAATTCGGGCCGGTGAGGAGTCGTGTGGGAAGGGGGGTGGGGGAGGGAGCCAGGGAGGCCAGGTAACATTGTTCATAAGAGAAATGACCTACAAATGGATGGAACAGAACATGCATCGACGACCGACCACCAGCTCCAAGTCTCTCCAATATGTCTACCTTGTTTTGGACCAGACTACGTACTGCAACCATATCCAGTTATCCATGCATGCAGGCAAGTTTGTGTCGTGTGTCCATATGCCCAGTTGATGCATGGTCTCCGATCATGCAGACAAAAGTATTTCCGACAGTTTACTGCAGGTGAAATCCACGCCCAATCCATGGTTTTCCCTACATTTACAACAGGTGTACATACATGTGTCCTCCCTTTCGCATTTATTTACTGCTAGTTTGCTGCTGGCATGCTGCTGGCTAGGGGGACCTCTGATGATGAGTTGTCCCAAGGAAACCAATCTATCATGCATGTCTTGCTAACACTCTAAGAGCTGATCGAACACTATAAATACATCCATATCCATCTTTGCATGAAAAGGCGAGAGAGCTTAGACAACATAATTCCATGAATACCGAGGAGGATATACAGACAACCTCCTGAAAGCTAGGCATCAAGATATGAGTATGTAATAAGATACTCTGTAGAATGAAAAAAAATTCTATTATGACGCACGCATGTAAAGCTTTATAAGTGCGATGTCAGAGAGCGAGAGATCGATGCATCGCTTCGATCTGGGTATTATGTTGCAGTGAGCCAGTGATGCAGGCATGCAGCCTGAATGTAGCCGCAGTGAAAAAGATACAGATTGCTGCAGAGTACTCTTGGCCGTCCGTCTAGCTCCTTGTTTGGGAACGGGAAGGAAACGCCAAATCACAACGCGCAGTGTTGTCATTAATAATCCTCTTGGGCATCAGAACGCGGCGAAAGACATCAGACATGCCAGATAATAAACTACTAGCTAGCTAGCTGCTGAACTGAAACGGTGCGTGTGCTGAATTGCTGATGCATGGAAGAACTAGTAGTTTATGTAAAAATGTTACTGTATATATGATTAATAATCATCTTTGATTTGTGTGCTGATTCAAGTGAGCAGGTATCAGTGGGTGCTAGCTGACTGTATAGAGTATAGACCATTATGTGGCCAGGCCATGAAGCAGCAGCAGTGGCATTATATTCTGATTTGATGCACAGGCATGCATATGAATGCCACACTAGATCTGATGCATGCATGGTATACTAGACCAATATAGGTTGATCCCTACGCGTACCTTGCACTTCATAGTTCATATAACATTCATTCTGATTCACATCGGTAAAAAAAAGGACAAAACTAAACGAAAATGGTAGGGCGCCAGGAACAGAAAGAAACAGTGTACTCCTACCTAGCTATGATGAATACACAGTTTAGTGGGGTAAGTGAATTAGTGTGGTTTTCAGCTATACTATTTCTTATTTTCCTTGCGCACAGAAAGTTGATGAAATATGTTTATTGATGAAAATGCATATTTCTGAATATTATTAAAGTTTTTAGCTTCCTGAAATGATATGGGGGATAGATACGATCCAAACTGCATTTTCACTTTCCCATGAAAACGGCTTCTTTCAATTTTATGTCTTTTACAGAGAACCGAGGGTAAAAGTTTAGAGAGTGGTCCTGCAAGTTGGTGCTCAAAAGAAGGTTGGTCCCGAGACTAAACTAGCCTCCTAGATTTTGATGTTGAAATATTTGAAAAGGCTGTGTATTTTGGTCCAATATGGAATGAGCGCGTTATGCAGACGGCTCATCATCAACATCGCCAACAGTTTTCGATCGTCTTCTCATGGTTCGTACAAAAAATTAAGGTGTCAATAGTGTCTGGCCTCTTTGCAAGAATCCTTTGAAAATAAATTGCTGACTTCAGTTAAATTTTGTGTATGAAAGGTGGAAGGTTAAACAAAACTTTAAAATTATTAAAAAAAAATTCAGTTCAATTTCAAAATAGAAAACTGTATCAAGTAAAAAAAAGGCTCCCCCCACATGAACAAATTAGAAAGTGGCATCATTTTTTCGAGAATTTATGAAAGCAGCATGCATGCACATACATATATATAAGTATACTAGGAAAATCAAACATATTATATCTCTTTATATATTGTTTAATATTGATATGTATATCTATCATACATTTAGGATTAGCGCTTTTCTTTAGTTTTGCCATAGGCAAAAGCTACTAATAAGTAATAATCTTTCCGTTCTAAATTGTTAGACATTTTTGGCTTTTGTAGGCATAATGTATATCTAATGCATAACAAAAGCGCAATGCATTAAGAGAAGCAAAAGCATCTTACAATTTAGAATAGAGGGAGTACGTATTCCAGTAGATATGACGCAGCATATTTTATGCCATGTGAAGCCTGCAAGAATTCCTTAGGTACTGCCTAATCCCTACATAGGTACTGTACTATACATACTCTTCTCTCTGAACCGGGTGCCCCATCAGCTACGTATTCGCATGGCTTTTATGCCTTGGAGCTTAGCTTATTATCTGCTGAGCTGCAGGGTCCAGGTCAGCGTCAGCACTGCTATACGGCGACGGAGAGTGAAGCGAGCTGAGACGGGGGAGCGGGAGCAGTGCATGGTGTGGTGGTGGTAAAAGGACGGGGATTGGACAGCGACGCTGATCATTTATACCGCCGTGTAAATACCCACCAAAACCACAAGCAGCTAGAGCTTCGCAGGTCGGCTTCCACATCTCTCTCATTCGTCTCCCCCCACTGCTAGCTCCTGCAGCTCTCAAGCTAGCTGCTGGTAGCGCTAGGGTTTACACCGATCGGGGTCGGGTCGCTGGCGGCCGGCGGAAGCGAGGAATCGAGTTCGGCGGCGGCGAGATCTGCTTGCTCGGTGGTCGCCGCCGGCGCAACCCCGGCACAGAGAAATTAAGTCAATTGATTTGCAGGGGTTCGTTGCTGCCCATTTGAAGAGATCCTGTAAGTCCTCCTTACCGGTCGGTTTATTTATTCCGTCGGTTGCTTGATTTGTTGATTTTTTACGGGTTTCTTCTGCGGATTTGAAGATTGCAAAAAAGTTTAGGCCTTTCTCTTGGTTTATTAGTTTTTGAAACCTTTTGTGGTCGTTTATTAATTAGAATATCCTAGATCTAACACATATTTGTTCGCTCATCAGCTTTCTTGCTATACACACTAATTAATTCTCCCGAATTTTCGAAGTACTGCTTCTCATATATTCTTTCTTTTTCCCACAGCCAAAAAAAACTTTCCCTAAAACAAAGTTGCAGATGATCATCGTTGTTTCTCTTTCTACTCTCTTTTCTCTCTTCTTTGTGGAACAACCTGCGACGGTCTGGATCTGAACCTTATGATTTCGATCTAGAGGGCCACTGAACGCTTCTTTTGCTAACCACAGTTGAAAAAAAATATCCAGATCATAATACTATAATCATGCATGTAAAAAAAAAACCGTTCACAGTGTTTTACTTGTTAAAAAAACACATATAATTGCTCCAATTAGTACTAAGTATTTTGTAAACTTCTGGGCTTCGATCTTACCATTTCAAAGAGCAGAAGAAAGAAACCATCCGTTCAGTGTTTTACTTGTTAAAAAAACATATTTATTCGTATAATTGCTCCAATTAATACTAAGTATTTTGCAAACATCTGGGCTTCGATCTTACCATTTCGAAAGAGGAGAAGAAAGAAACCAATCCATGTATTCATAGTTTTGCCTGCAAAAGCTAGCAGAGATGTGGAGGGCGCTAGCTCAATCATGGAATCATCCCTTGCACAGCGCATATAGTGCCGCTGCCACTGCGGCGCACCGATCCACAGCTCGCTGGCGCTCACCTGCACTGTTTCATACCGCTATCTTGCTGTTCCATGGAGCGAATAAAGCTGCATCGCTTTCACCATTCCCCAATGGAACAGTGGCCTGTAGACCCTCTGCCGTGCTTGCATGCACAGTGCTCTATCATGACTCGCCATTTCATGCGAATCTGTTATGCTTGCATTATTGCATACGATAGATGCTACAATTAGCATGCTGTTAATTTGAGAGCCTGACCAGTTGCAGTGGATGATACACCGACACGCCGCAGCTAGCTGGGACGTCGCGAGATGACGGGCGCCGTTGGGCGGCTAATAAGACGATGATAAGGGGCGGCGGCAACAACCAGGAGGCGGCGGACGTCGAGGAGCTGCTAGCCCAGCAGAACAAGCACGCCGCCGTGGCGACGTCGCGGCAATGGTCGGCGCAGACGGAGTCGCGCATCGTGCGCGTCTCCCGCGTCTTCGGCGGGAAGGACCGCCACAGCAAGGTGAAGACAGTCAAGGGGCTGCGCGACCGCCGGGTGCGCCTCTCCGTGCCCACGGCAATCCAGCTCTACGACCTGCAGGACCGCCTCGGCCTCAACCAGCCTAGCAAGGTCGTCGACTGGCTGCTCAACGCCGCACGCCACGAGATCGACAAGCTGCCGCCGCTGCAGTTCCCGCCGCAGGACCAACTCATGGTCGGCCACCTCACGCCCCACATGCCGCTGGTGCACGAGGAGAAGTTCGGACACATCGCCGCGGCCGCGGCGCTCGCAAGCGACGGCGGCGGCGCCAAGGTCAGCCAGCAGGGCGATGTCGACGTCGACGGGACCGGCGGAGCCCACCACTTGGTGGGGAGGTTCCCCGGCGGCGGCTACCACCGGTTCATGGAGCTGAACGGCGCGTTGGGCATGGTCAGTAGCTCAATGGCGCCGTATAACAACTACACCGGAGAGGCATGGAGTAACAGCGGCGGCGTGCATGACGGCGGCGCAGGCGGCTCGCCGCAGGTCGTGGCAGCGGCTCACCACTCGCCGTTCCCGTCGTTGCTCTCGTTGGCTCCACGCCCGCATCAGCTGGCGTTCTACTCCTCGGAAGCTGATCAGCAGTTTCAGGTGGAGAACCTTGGCTCGCAAAGCCTGTCCTTGAGCTCGGCGAGGGCTTACCATGATCAGGCTAGCTAGCAGACTACATACTGGAACTCTTCGATCGAGATTAAATAAGGTAGGAACAATGCTCACTGATCCCAAGCAAAATTCCCCAAGTACAATATATCTAGCTGTGCAAGTGTGACAGGGTTTCCAAGTGCCTTTTAAGGAGAGGCAGTTAAGCTTGTGATGATTTCATAATTAGTATGAAGCTTGACCTGAAACAGAATAAAATCCGCGGGGATTGCAGCGTGTATTTGCGATACGGATTTGTTACTTCTTGCAATACACAAAGGAGTAATATTATTGTGTGCTGGCTTGTAACAATAAGATTTTTTTTTAAATATTATGGTTTTTATTAGTTATTCCCTCTATTCTAAATCATAAAACGTTTTGTTTTTTTCTAGACACATATCTTTTTGCTATGCACGTAGATATACACTATGTCTAGATACATAGTTATACCAATGTATCTAGAAAAGTCAAAAACATCTTATAATTTGGAATGAAGGGAGTATAACATTTTATTTTGGCTATCATGTTGAGTTTCTTGCTATAACCTTTTGTTTCATATGTCGAGCAATTATATGTGCATGGCATGCTTCATATAGAGTAATTATTGGATCTATGCGTGCATATAGCGCAGGTTTAGTTTATAAGGATCTGGGGGGGGGGGAGGAATTAAGGAGGAGCCCCACCCAAATTAAACCCCATCTTGAAATCTTAGTACCCTCTCCATTTCAAATTGTAAGACGTTTTGACAATTCTAGATACATAAGTTTTGCTATCCACTTATAGATTACTCAGCCATCTAACTTTAAGATCCATGTCTCAGATTAGATCGATCTAACATATGTGCTAACACAAAATCATGTGTGTTATGAGAAGGTTTTAGCACCCTAAATTTTATATTACACTATATTTACTAAAAATACACTTTTTAGGTGACTAAAAAGTAAAAATACACTTAAAAAGAGTTTGTAATTCATGTGTGTGATTTCGATTTATGCTAAATGCAACTAATAAGGTGTAAATGGAACTGCATGTTGGGGGTCTACACTTAAGTTTTCTATACATGTACTCACATCAAATTTTATATGTTTTAATCATCTAAAACACTTAGGTTAGATTTATCTTTTCCTAGATTAAATCTGAAAATAGAGCTTCCTAGTACACTAGAGAGGGTCTGAGCGTCCATGTAAATTTTTTTTAACCCTCTAGGGCGCCACTAAGACGTGTAGTATTGAACATGTAAGGAAAATGGACTCTAGGCCCATTTACTTTGGATTTTGGTGTTTGATGACCAACACAACCAAATTGGACTAATAAATTTGCAAGTAATTATTTTGTAGTTCAATAGGGTGCAAGACATGATTTGGACGAAGGCGACATAATGATCCCACGATCAACACCATAAGCAAGACCCTAGAAGCATAAGAGAAGACCCTAGATATCAAGCAAAGTCCAAGCACGAAGATGGGAACCAAGCCGGACGCAAGATCGCGAAGAAACGAGCTCGGCAGAGATGACCAGACGTGGCCCTATGAGGACCGGACGCGTCCGATCAGTTGCTCGGCAACAGCATGCGTCAGCAGCAGTGATCGGACGCTAAGCGAAGCACTGACCGGACGCACGGACTTCACTGTTCATCGTCGCGGCAACAACTCAGTGAGGACCAGATATAGCGGCACTGGATGACCGGACGCACAAAGTGCAGCGTCTGATCATGTCCAGAGAGGTTCCAAAACGGCGCAAATGCGACCGGACGCGTCCGGTCGATGATGACCGGACTCGGCAGTGCGTCCGATCTCTACGCACGCGTTCAACGATCGGGTTGACCGGACGCGTCCGGCCAGGACGACAGCAGCGTCCGGTCAGTAGCAGAAAGCTAGGTTTCGTTCCCAACGGCCACTTTCTCCATGGGACTTATAAATAGACCCCCAACTAGCCATTTGAGGTGTGGAGAGTTGAGGAAACATACCAAGGATGTTGATACACCATTTTAGTGATCTCCACTTGCATAGTGCTTAGTGATTCATTAGGTGATTAGCGTAGGTGCTTTGCGAAGTGCTTAGGTTGATTAGACCACCGCTTATGTGTTTGCTCTAGGTTTAGGCCTAGTGTTTAGTGAGGTTTGCACACCTCTTACCACTCGGTGCTTGCGCGCACCATTGTTGTACATCGGAGGGGCTTGTAGTCTTGGGAGATCACACCAACCGCGTTTGTGGTGTTGCCGTCACCGTGCACCGAAGGGAACAAGGCCCACGGCGGTTCGGTCGGAAGCTTGATAGTGAAGACAGCGGGGAACGGTCGGGAAGAGGCTTGTCGGAAGGCACACCGGAGACCCACTTGCGCGTGGGGAAGGCCTAGGGCTATCCACGGAGCTACCCGACCGGAAGCTTGGCCCTTACGAGGGGCTCCAACGAGGACTAGGGGGAAGCTTGCGCGCTTCTCGATACCTCGATAAAAATATCAGAGCCGTCGATGGGAGTTTGCATATCTCCACCTTACTCTTTAGCTTTCGTATTTACATTGAAATCTTGGTTTGTGCTTTACTTTTCTAGCTTAGTGATAGGCTAGTTGATAGGTTTGGTACCTAGGTTGCCTAACTCCTTTTTGCGGTAGAGATAGCAACACACTTGCTTAACCGTAGTTGCACATTGAGATAGTTTATCTTGTGCATAGGTTTTTGCTAAGGATAGAAAAAGAGGTCATAGTTTGAAGTTAGAGTTTTAAGTTGCCTAATTCACCCCCCTCTTAGGCGTCACAGTCCCTTACAGAATATTTTCTCTACCTTAATACAAAGACGCGCAAACCTTTTGCGTGATCGAGAAAAAATAGAGCTTCCCACAGGATTCAACTGTAACAAATTGGAATCTAAAAGCTTAAGACCATTTATTCTGTCATGTACTATATCCCATGCATATATACCGGGCCAATTCATAATTGCAAATTTTAGTTACAAATTCGAAGTCAATTGAGTACGATATATATTAAGGGGTCGGCAGTGAACAAATAGTCATGACGTTATATTAAATCTATATATGTCAAGAGTGATGATATATACTATTAGCCTATGCAGATAATGTACTTGATTTAATCATCCTTAATGCTAGAGCTAGCATTTCGTAATTTTTCGTTTTACAATATATGTGTAGGTCAAAGTCAATGAAATTAAATATTTTTAGTATTTTATATCTTCACACATCAGTAACTGAAGTAGTGTTAGCCCAGCACAGAAAACCAGCCTTATCTTTGTGATTCCGGAGGCAAATGTGTCGCATGCATATATATGCTCTGGAACAATATATAACATATACTCCATCCATTCCAAATTATAAGACGCTTTAACTTTTTTGTTCATCAATTTTGCTATGTATCTAGACATATTATTCATCTAGATGCATAGCAAAATAGATATAAAAAAAAAGTCAAAGCGACTTATAATCTGGAACGGAGTGAGTATATTAGTCCCCTGCCTCGCCAAAAAAAGTCGTTGTTGAATCTAACAATTTGCGTTAATTTTGTAACAATTTTTATAAGTCATTGTTTGCTACTGAAAGACTGAGAGTGCGAGATTAATGGTCTTCATTTGCACGCAATAATCATCAATCTCGCACTCTCCATTGTTGTCAGAAATATATAGGATGTATCGAGTCAACTATTGGATTACATTTAGCAAAAGAATGTCTTTATATATAAGTAGAACTTAATAGGTATTTATGTAAGATAAAAAAAATTGTACATTCAGCTGGGCCTGGGCGCCTGTTCAGAACGTAAAAGACGTCGCATAAATTGCAGAAAAAGCTATATATCATGAGATCAATAAATGTTTCATCAGGGTTTGGGAAAGAGGCCGGAGTAAATCGAAATCCTGAGTTTATGCCAACTGATTACGTCCCACAATGGTAAAGCGGCGAGAGGCGCCGCATGGCAAAATTAATGACCATGATATTCAGTATTAATGTATAAACTCTGAAGTCTGAAAGATCCGCATACACACATGTACACAATCTGTGTCTCCCTCTCATAGGATAGGAAGGAAGTGTCATCAGCCGTCGTCACCCCACACCAGCACTACTGGCACCGCCAAATAAAACGAAGAGAAGGCGACATGATGTGACTCATTTGTTGGCGCAGACCCACCAACTAATGCACGACTAGCTGGTCCTACCTAGCTAGCTACTCCTAGTCCTAGCTATAGCTAGCTAGCTCGACAACATGCGTTCATGCATGGCATGCACTTTTGCAAAATGCACGGTAGCACATACATACTCTCCCACACATGAGATAGGAGATCTGACTATCTGAGTATGTGATTTAATTCATGTCCGTACGGGTTAATCAATGATGAAATGTACAGTTAATTAATAATCCTAGCTGAACCCAAATCACATCATGGCCTTGTTTAGATTGCAAATTTTTGCAATCTGGACACTGTAGCACGTTTCGTTTGTATTTGACAAACTTTGTCCGATCATGGACTAATTAGGCTCAAAAGATTCTGATTTACCCAAATCATATTTAATGCATCATACATAAGCTGATGTGATGGAGAAAGAGCAAAAAAACTTAGAATTTTGACGCAATCTAAACAAAGCCCATAATAAGCTGCACAAATCAGTGCTGCTCAGATCAGGTACTGCGCGTGTGCCGTCCTGTCTGTTCTGACTTCTGACCAAGAGGAAAGAAGAAAAAAGCCTAATGAGAGAGTCGCTATCTCTCGTCTTTTTCCAGCACCCTTTGCTAAAGCTGGACCTAAATCTCAAAGATAGCAGCCTTTCTTTTTCTGCACCGGCAAAAATCGACTAATCTGGCATATCTATTATCGATCTCTATGCCCGTGCTTCAGCACAGCTCACGCATGCATGCACGATTCACTAATTCACTGCTAGCTAGCTAGTGCCACCAGCAGCAGGCTGGAGCAGGAAAAGATCGATAGTACTAGCTAGTGCTAGCTACTCCTAGATGGATAGTAGATGCTTACAAGATCGAGATGGGAGGAAAACATTTCCTGCAAAGAGAGGCTAACGTAC